CAGAGTGCTGGAATTACAGGTGTGCTCTACCACACCTGTCTAAAGTAAGTTCAGAGGACAGAGCTCATGTTAAGTGTTCTTGGAAGAAAGGGGAGAGGACAACAAAGTGCTTGGAGGTATTTAGTACCCTCGTTGTGATGATGGCGTTGTAATAGATGCTTAAGCGTTAGCTACTGTTCTAGTATTCATGACAGACACCTGCTGAGAAGCAACATAGAAAGGGTTTAGTTTGTCTCACAGTGTGAGGGTGTAGTCCCTCAGAGTGGAGAAGTGATGGCCACGAAAGGGTGTGGTCTTTCTGTCTCCACTTGCTGGAATTATGGGCATACACCACAATGCACAATTTATTTGGTGTTAGGGATTGAACCCAGGGCTCTGTGAATGCTAGGTTTTTTCTTATTTATTTATTTAGGTTTTTTTTTTTTTTTTTGAGACAGGTTTCCCTGTGTACCCTTGGCTGTTCTGGGACTCTTTCTGTAGACCAGGTTGGCCTGGAGCTCACAGAGATCCCTCCTGCCTCTGCCTCCCAAGTGCAGTGCTTAAAGATGTGTGCCACCATGCCCAGCTCGGTTACCACCTTCCTTATGGTACTACCTGCCTACCCAGGAATGGTACTGCCCACAGTGGGCTGGATCTTTCTGCATAAATTAGACATGGAGAAAACATGACCCCCTCATCCCCATGCCCACAGGCCAGTCTGGTAAGGCATTTCTTCCACTGATGGCCCTGCTTCGATTAGCCATGGAATACGGAAAAAGAATGTTTCTTCTCCCTCACTGTTCCTTTTCCTGGACTTCAGCAGATGACCTTGGTTGGCATTATAAGACAGATTTTTCTGAAGACACGCCATCAAGGCTGAGCTTATCTTCTTTCCCATGAGTTCATGTTTCCTTCCTAGTTGACTTTATTTCTTTGACTATCAAATTTCAGGAATGACACATTTTGCTTCTTCAAGTTGTATGTAGCTGGCACAGCACACACACACACACACACACACACACACAGAAAGAGGTATGCACACCCACTCAAATCTTTGAAGAGCTGCAGAGACCGTTGTCTGGGTTGTTTTCCTTTACCAGCTGGAAAAGCAAGTCAATTAGTGAGAAACAGTTGAGGTCACTTGAGAAGTTAGCTTTCACCATTTGGCTCCCAGAGGAGACCAACATTTGCTTTTTTCTAAAAGTAACTCTTTATGTCCTTTGGTTGGAAGTCATGGAGCAAAATGGCAATGAGTTATAAAACAAAGGAGAGGTGTTGAAGCACATCAAAGTATTGGAACACACGCCTACATCCCTACTCCATCCCAATCCAGCTCCACCCTGTCCATTTCCACAGAGCACTTGCAAAAACATACAACTCTCATCTAGAGAACTTTAACCTTAGAGTTAGTAATATGATAAGCAAGATAATTTTTACTATGAGCAGCTGTTGTGTCTTATAGGATATTATTTGCACTGTTCTAAAACCAACTGCGATACCTGGCCTTCCTTGCAGGCTATGTAGCAATGCCCCTGACCTCTATCTACCACTAGATGCCAGCCAGATCTCTCCACTCCTAGTGGGACAATCGGAATGTTTGCAGGGGGCTAGGGAGATGGCTTAGTGAGTAAAAGTGCTTGCTTTGCAAGCCTGAGGACCAGAGTTCAGATCCCCAGAATCCATGTTTACAAAGCTAGACATGGAGGCATGTTCTTATAACCCCAGTATTGGGGAATTGAAGGTGGAAATACCCCCAGGCTTGATTTATCAGCTAGCCCAGGTAAGTCAGTCAGCTCCAGGTTCATTGAGAGACCCTGTCTCAAAAAATAAGGCGGAGGGCTACAGCGATGGTTCAGCACTTACTGTTCTAGAAGATCCAGGTTTAGTTCCTGGCACCCAATTCAGGCAGCTTACAAGCACTGGTAACTTTAGCTCCAGGGGTTTCCAATGCCTCTGGCCTCTGTGGGCATCTGTACTCATGTGTACATAAACACACACACACACATGCATGCACCCCACATGAGCACACATACATAAACATACAAAAAGTTTTCTGATGTCACCAAAAGCCCATGAGGATGGATAAAGTCACCCATGATGGACAGAACCATAGTCTAGTAGAATTGCTTGCCTTGTTAACCAATTCGGCGGGATCCAAAGTGTTTATTGCCCTGCGGGGAGGGTAGGAGGCTTCAGTGCCAAGCACGTTTGTGGCTGGAAGCTTTCACAAGTAAGTCAGACTGAAATGGACAAGGAGCAAAGTTTCACCCAAGGATTGTGACAGTCACAGCTGCAAGCTGGCAGGGGATGGATGCAAATCCTTTTGGATATGCTAGCCTATGAACAGAAAATACAGTACTATTATTCTGTGAACAGAACAGGACAGTCCTCTGTTTTCAGAAGTGACTTCAAAGTTGTTGCTGTTTCTTTTGTCTCTTTCTGTCTCCTTCTGAGACTTTATGTGGTTGTCATCCTCAGCCACAAAATTGAGATTCTTCACAGTTCGCTGGAGTCCCAGAGAAAACTTTTTCTTCCTGAGTCTGTGGGGCTCGATGATGACCTACTGAGAGCATAAAATGGAGATGCTCATCTGAGCTTCTTCTAACTTGTGGTACCTCGTTTTTCCCAGAGCCAGTAGACACTTTGCTCCAGATTCCATCAATGAAATGGAATTATAGGCTGGTGTGTGTGTGTGTGTGTGTGTGTGTGTGTGTGTGTGTGTGTTGAGTGTACTTACGAGGAGGCAGCGGTAGACATCGGCGTCTCCCGTAATCACTCTCCACATTACATAGTTGTTTGCTTACAGCAGAACTAGGGATTGAACCAAGGACTTCGTGTGTGAGAGGCAAGTGCGCTACCACTGAACTGTAGCTCCATCTTCCACTCTCCTTTTTTGGGAAAGGGCCTTTCAGTGATCTACAGCCTCTCTCCTATTTGGCTGCACTGCCTGGCTAGTGAGCCCCTGGCATCCACCTGTCTCTGCTTCCTAGGGCTGGGCTTACAAGCTCTTTACACTGGTGCTACGGATTGAACTCAGGCCCTCGGGCTTACCAAGCAAGAATTTTGCTGACTTAGCCATTTCCTCAGCTCATAGACTGGTACTTGCTTCTATAGGAAGTTCCCATGGTTCTAGGCCCTCGGGGTGGGTCCCTGTGTTGAAGTTGGAGGAAATCTATGCTGCCTTCCCCCAAATGTGTTACAGCTTTCCTTTGCTCTTATCAGGGTGGCCCTACCCTTTAACACAATAAGACCCAAACAATGAAAAAGCAGTGGTGAGATTTAGACCCTACAAATCACAAAGGAAGGAAATCTGAGTTACTGCTTTCACTTGGGGTCTCATTCAACCAGCCCAGGCATTATCAAAAGATCAGGGAATCGTTATACATTCCACAACGTATAATTATCAATAAGGATGCCATTATAGGCTTAGACTCTTAAAATAACTGGACCTTTGAACTTTCAGGTGAGATGCAATCACAGAGTGTTAGCTGGGGTGTCTTAGAGCTTTTAGAAGTAAATTGTGAGAACACTTTTAGTTACATGTAACAATACAGTTAGCTGTATGGGTAGCTGTAATGTCTTTAGTCTTTGACCAATTTAAATTTGGAGTGGTTAGCATCTAAAGCCCTGCTTAGATATCCTGACCTCATTCTTATTTATATATCACTTATTATTTATTTACAAATTATTGTGATTATGGTGTGTGTTTTAAAGTCAATTGTACTTTAACACTGCAGGGTTTGCCTTGGCATGTGAGATCATCATAATAATATTACCTTTTAAACTCTGGGACAAAATCTAGGGTTTGAGTTTCCCTCACTCTGCAGATTTGTGATTTAGCTGGAGAATTACATTCCACCCAGACATTCTCTAATGCTTGGAGGTATTGCAATAAATTAAGTGGGAAAATTCAGAGCATACCCCATCCCAGTTCTTATTAGGTATGTAACATTTCTCAATGAAAGTAATATCACAGAGTAATTTGGTTATTAAGTCAGTAATTGCATATCTTGTTCTGGTTATAAAGTTACCTTTTGCAAACAGTTCACTCCCTCCATTTTAATAGCCGTATCAAGAAAGGTCCATCATGAATTTTCTTTGAAGAAATTGCTTGAACTATGTTTGTTCTATCTGAGTTTACCATTATGCTGAAGCAAAGTCTTGTCCTTGGAGCTCATGCATCCAAAAATGTCACATAAATATTTGATAAACTGAGTCTTTTTAAATCACATCTAGGAGGACATAGTCTAATTACCATTCTGTGGGTGGTAGAATTACAATTGATTAAATAAAAATTTCCTTTAGGGGCTGGACGTATAGCTCAGTAGAGGTCTTGTCTAGCACGTATAGGCCTTGGATTTCATTCCCAGCACTACAGAAACATATATTTTCTTTGTACTATCTTTTAAACTTTTTTCAGCAACAAATAATATATTATTGTATGTTTTGTTTCTTTCTTTTTCTCTTTCCACTTTTTGAGACAGGGTCTCTCTTTGCAGCCTTGGCTGGCCTGGAACTCACTCAGTAAGCCAGGCTGGCCTTGAACTCAGAGATCAGTCTGCCTCTGCCTCCCGAGTGCTGGGGATTATTGTGTATTCTGAAAGCATCGTAGAAGATGTAGTAGCATCTTGCTTTGCCAGTGCACTTGCAGTGGTGGGCCACACCCTATGGGCGTGGCTTCAGGTAGAGGAGGGGCTGGCTCAGGCTCTTGGGTTTCTGTGAGAGCATCAGAAAGGCAGAGACTGCATTTCTTAGGGAAGACAGAGGTGTAAGTACTTCCTTAATAAATACCTGTTTACCATTTGTCTTGGGTCTTGTGGACTCATTTAAACCCTGCCTTCAAGAAGATGGATTCAGCATCCTACCTGTTCCAACCTAGTTGATAACAGAAATCCAGCATAATTTTTTTCAATCCCATGAATGCATATACAATTTTTATCTTGTCCTGGTAATACAGTTTTAAGGTATCTATGAGAAAATAACTAATACATATCTAGAGATTAAAAGAAATAACCATCTCTCTGCAGCCAATTAAGATGACCAGGTTGCTTTCCTCATGGGGGCCTGGTGAGCATTGGCTGCAAACGGCAGCCACCACGATGGTATACACAGCACGCTGCCAATCTGAATTGCCCTAAGGGACCATGGAGATACTTTTCTCCATGTCTCCGATCTCAGCGCTGTCCTGAAACAATGCTCCACAGTTACTCGAGCTGTCTTTGGGAAGCTCCAGGACACAGTGGCCAGGGTACGTATTGGCCAAGTTGCAGAACAAAGTGCATGTGGTTGAGGTCCTGCACAGAGCTCAGTTCAACTTCCCTGCCTGACAGAAGCCACAACTCAAAGCGAGGCTTCATCAAGTTTAATGCAGATGACTCAGAGTACCTGGCTCAAGCCTGATGACTGTGGGGTCAAACATGTCCCCAGCCATGATTCCATGGGCAAATGGTGGGTCCCAGACCGCTGAGGGTTTCCACTGTCTCATCTGTCTAAGGAAACTCATCAGTCCTCAAGTTGGTCTACACCAGGTAGAAAGTGATCCCGGATCCGGTTGCTTTGGAGCCTCTGATTTTGTTGTCCTCACCATTTCTGATCATGCCTCCACAGCCATGACAAGCACCTGCTTATGCTGTTAGATACATTTATTCTAAGAACATGTTGGGGATACTCAATGCGCATCACAGAACACAGAATCCTCTCCTCATTCTTAGCAACAGGAGCGCTTACCTTTATCCTGAGAAGCAGCTTTGTTTATGCATCATTTTGCAATGATTTGGGTATCAGGATGAATTCCCTTCATGACATGAAATTTCTATAGTAGCCTCAATTTCCATTTTGCCTTATTTTGTAACCATAATTTTCTTTTGTTCCAATTTCATTACCAACTTTTTTTTTTATAACCACTTATGTTTTTATCTTTTATTTTTGCAGTACTGGCATTGAAACCAGAGCTCATATTAGGTAAATGTTCCACCTCTGACCTGTATTCCCAACCCACCATCTTATATAAATTTTATTCTATCCTGTATGTATGTCTGTAAAATTGCCTGAATTGTTTTTCACATCGGTGCATTCTGATTCAGTGTTTTGCTTTTAGATTCTGCTAGCTCATTAGGGCCCCAACTGCCTAGGCACAGTAATATCTGTAAGTCCAGTAATATCTTTCTCTCCTTTTAAATTAAAATTTTTTTCACAGTAAAAAGTCGAGGACACTCAGATTGGTACCCACAATGTATCCATGAATAGACTTGTATTTCTATCCAATTCTTCTTCCTTGATCTATAACAAAAATGGCCCTTATTCAACAGCAGACACTTCCCTGGGGTAAAGATGGCTTGCTTCATGAAAAAAACAAACAAATCCAACAAAACAGGTTTGTCATTCTCATCACTGGTTTGGACCATGCAATCCTTCCACTCTTCACCCAGAGCACCACAGCTACTTCTGTGGCCATGATTGTATAGGAGAGGCTTTTGTTCATTGTCTGCTTTGGTTTCTGACAGCCAGTAGCTAGGAAGGAGATACTCAGCTTCCTCCTAGGAGGTCTCTCTCTCTCTCTCTCTCTCTCACACACACACACACACACACACACACACACAGGTACGCACTCACATGCATGTACACACTCATATGCACACACACACTCACACACACACAATTAAGTTGGGGCTGGAGATACGGTTCGACCAGTAGCGTGCCTTTCACATAACCATAAAGACCCGAGTTTGGAACCCAGAACCTACATGAAAGCCAGGGGCATACCTGTAATTCCGGCACTGGGAAGGTGGAGACAGGAATTGGTGAGCTCCAGGTTCAATGTGAGATTTTTGTCTCAAAAATGAAGGTAGAAAGTGATTGTGGGAGACATGGTGTTGACCTCTTCCTTCACATGCATACACACATGGGTTTTTTTTCTTTCCCTCGGACACTCTCTCTCCCTCATACTCCCCCCCCCCCCGCCCGACACACTCGTGCATTACAGAAAGAAGTACTGAGTCAGATAACTTAGCATCAAAGCGCTTGCGGTATAGGCAGCAAGTATGGAGACCAGAGTTCTTATCCCTGGAATCCACACAAATGCTTGCTGGGCCCTGAGGCTTGTAATCCCAGTCTTCAAAAGGCACAGTCAGGAGTCCTGGGAACAAGCTGCTAATGACCATTTGTATCAGTGAGCTCTGGGTTCAACCGAGGGACCCTGCTACAGCAAATAAAGCACAGTGATAGAGGATGTTCCTTCACCAGCCAGGGCACCCATACAAATGCAAACAAACACGCACGCGGGCGTGTGCTCACACATGCACGCACCCCACGTAAGAAAAAAATTAAAAAGAAAGAAAAACATCTAAAAATGAGCACTGCTTTCATAATCTTTTATCTACTGACCATGTGTACAACATATTAATCAAACGTCGTTGAATAGGCTTAAAGCACAATTAAGTTAATGGTGTTCAGAGGCGGAGACATGGTCAACTCAGGGCACCATCCCTGGGATGAGAAAACCCTGGTGAAGAGGTCATCAGCACATCTCCAGGGGAAGCCTGCAAAGGTGGATGGGCTTATGATTGATGAGGAAACAAACAAAGGCCCACGTGCCCAGAATCCACAAGGAGGTTACATTGAGGACGGGGATGTCTCATGCAGACTTAGTGTCTGAAACAATGGGTTATCTTGGCTTGTTTTCATTTTTTTAGAACCCTGAAAAGCCACACTTGTTTTAAGCAGCTGCAAAATAACTAGCGTCTTATAGAGCACAATCAAGATTCAGTTGGCACGTCCTTGTTCTCATCAAATAGCATGTTTCAGCCCAGATGCTCTGGTAAATACTCATAAATAGTGCAATTTTTGTTTCTACGGGCTGATATTTGCAAGGCCAAGCTCTTAGAGAGAGTAGACACAAAGTAGCTTTTTTTTTTTTTTTTTTTTTTTTTTTGTAGAAGAATCCCTTCAGTTGTTTGTTTCAAGGATCTCACCCTGCTTCCTGCAGAACCAAACATCCATTGCTCCTTCCCGGCTTCCTTCCCCCCTCCCCTCCCTCCTCTCTCTCTCCTCCCTCCCCTCCGCTTTCCTTCCCCACCTCCCCTGTTTTCCTGAGACAAGATCTCATCAGAAGCGGCTAAGACTGACTTTGAACTTAGAATCTTCCTGGTTCCGTTTCCCTTGAACTTTTTACCCTCCTCCTTCTAGCTCCCGAGTGCTTGGATTACAGGTTTGCCCAACCATTCCAGGCTTATTTGGTTTTGTACATGGAAGCCAGGGTCTTATGTATGCTGGGTAAGCATTCTATCAACAGAACTACTCCTCAGTCCTGGAATATACATTTTCTGAAAGAATAATTCATAGAACAAAATGATACAATGAGATGTGTGTTTATGGTTTTAGAGTGTCAGTGGTCTATGATAGACAGTGGAACTAAACAAAAAAGATGGTTAGATTAAAAAAAAAAAAAAGACTTCATTTGGCCCAGGGCAAAATAAATGTTTGCAGTATATAAAATTCAAATCTTCCTGAATCTTGGCATATATACCTAGGAAAGAGTCTCCTGAGGTATAATTAATACACGAAACACTACATATACTTAAATGTACACTTTGGTATACATTTAAGTAAACGGATACAAGGGGTCTCTTGTATCCATGTCTGGCCCTGAATTTGCTGTGAAATTGAGGATGAGCTGAACTTGGGATTCTTCTGCCTCTGACTCCTCAGTGCTGGGATTACAGACAGGCCTGCACCATTACTTCCAATTTATGTGGTGTTGGGGGTCACAGCCCAGGGCGGCATACATGCTAGGCAAGCACCCTATGGGCTGAGTTACTTCCCAGCCCCCATTCTGAGATTTCGACACACACATACATACATCTATACATGTACATGTATACATGTACATACATACATATATATGTACTCACACATATATACACACATGTGCACACTGTGACCGTAAAGACAATGAGCATACCCATCACATCCAGGCTTCCTCATCCCCCTACCCCCCCCTTACCCAACCCACTCCAGTCTCTCTCCCCACATAATCCTCAGGCAAGCCCCAATATTTCTCTTTTTTGTCACTAGATTTATTTTACATAAGTGTTAGCATCCATGCCCTCATGTTTGGTTGGGCTTTGTAGGAATCATCTAAGATTCACTCAGATGATAACATTTATCCATTTGTCCAGCACTCCTGCTGGACAAATATACCACAGTAGTTCATCCATGTGTCTGCCAAAGGACACTGGATTACTTACAGGTTTTTAGCTATTAAAAATAGAGGTGCTGGGGGAATATCTCAGTGGGTAAAGTGCTTGCTGTATAAGCACAAGGAATTGAGTTAAGATCTCTGGCCCAGGGAAGCATCCTGTCAGCAGATGGGAGCAAATACAGAGACCCACAGCCAGATGTTACACAGAGAGTGAGACCTTGGAACACACAGCTCTATGTGTGATGTCGATGGGAGATGTCATTCTGGTGTGTGTGTGTGTGTGTGTGTGTGTGTGTGTGTGTGTGTGTGTAAGAGTGCAGTACCTGTGGAGGCCAGAAGAGGGTGTGGGATTCCCTAGAAAGTAGTTCTCAACCTGTGAGTTTTCACAGGAGTCACATATCAGATATCCTGCATATCAGATATTTACATTATGATTCATAACAGTGGCAAGATTACAGCTATGAAGTAGCAACAAAAATAATTTTAGGGTTGGGGACAACATAATGTGAGGGACTGTATTAAAGGGACTGCATTAGGAAGGTTGGAAACCACTGCTCTAGAGATGGAGTATAAGCCACCCCAAATGAGTGCTGGGAACTAAACTATAGCCTCTGCAAAACAGTACACACTCTTTTTTTTTTAATCTATTTTTTAAATGATATTTTTATGTTCCAATCCCAGTTCCCCCTCCCTTCTCTCCTCCTGCTCTCCCCACCCTGAGTGTTCCATCTGCTCCTCAGAGAGGGTAAGGCCTCCTCTAGGAACTCTACTAAGTCTGTCCCATCATCTTGTTGAGGCAGGATCAAGGCACCTCTCCACCCCCACACTCCCGTGTCTAGGCTGAGCAAGGCGTCTCTCCATACAGAATGGGCTCCACTGTGCATTAGTCAGTCTGTGCATTAGTGTTAGATCTTGGACCCACTGCCAGTGACCTCATATTGTATCTGTCACACCTTT